CCTCACATATGCTAGGCACACGTTTCACTCACCGAGCAATGCCACTAGCCCACCCAAGTGTGTGCCTACTCTGCCGTATCTGTCTGCTTCACTGGGGCTTTCTTCAAGTCCTTTACCACCTCCAAAAAAGGCTATAAAGTCCAGCTGGGGACTGCTGGCTTCCCATCGCCTCCTCTCAACACAATACGAATGTCCTCAACCTGCAATGCTTTCTCCAGGACTAGATTTTCACCTAATGCCCACTGTTCCCCATCTCTCTGCTTTGGCAATGCTCCTAACCACCTTTTACTTTCAAAAATATATATTTGTTCCTACTAGAGAAACTCCGGCCTGTGTAGGGCTCTGTCCTCCACTTTGCCTCATTCATCCTAACTTACCCTACAGGCTTCATTTTGAAAATCCCTTCCTTAGCAACAATTTTCCTAATCTCCCAAAACAGATTCCTCCCCGCTATGTAGTTCAGGCTGGCCTTGAACTCTCGGTGATTCTCACCTCCGCCTCCTGAGCGCTGTGGCTACAGGTGTGCGCCATCACACCTAGTTTCTTTTTTTTAAACATTTATTTACTTATTTATTGTGTGTGTGTGTGTGTGTGTGTGTGTGTGTGGCCAGCTCAGCCCACCAGGGGGCGGGACTGGCTGGCATGTGGTGCTGGGGGATTGAACCGCGGTCCCTGTGCTTTGCCAAGCTTGTTCCAAGTAGGTGCTTTAGACCACTGAGCCATCCCGGCAGCCCACACCTAGTTTCAAAACAGATTTTGCCACCCCTTTTTCATGAGTTCACCTGACCCAGGTCTCTGTATATTCTCATGTTAACAATCTGTGAGGAGACCAAACCTAGCAGGACAGAAGCCCACCCCTTTCTTTGCTCTCCACTTTATCCTCAGAGGCAGACCCAGAACCTAGCTGAAAGTACTTGAAAGAATAAACCAACAAGCGATCGTAAGTTGAGAGTTTTTGCTTTCATTAGCAGCACTCAAACAAGCATTCCTTACAGCCAGCCTGGGATTGCTTCTACTCGCTACTCACACCAGTTCTGGTCCTAAGGGGACTCTGCTGCTCCCTCTGAATCTGTTGGACTTATTATTATTATTATTATTATTATTTTAATTTATGTATTTGGTACAGGGTCTTACTATACAGCTCGAACTCAATGATCCTCGTGTTTTCAGCCTCCCCTGTGCTGGGATTGCAGGCATGCGCCACCAGGCCTGGACTGGGTCACAGGCTCCGAGCTCCAGGGGGCGGAGCCAGCAGGTTTCTGACTTACTTTCAAATCCACCTGTTACACAAGGCTCCCACTCCCAAGCATGAAACTATAAAGAGGAACCTGCCATTCCATCCTTCCTACTTCTCAATAATTCCTATTAAGTTAATGCTTAGACTGCTGCAAATTACTTGTACAAAAAAACCTCAATCATCCTAACATCCCTATGGCACTGCTTTTCCTATTTAGCATCATCAAATACAGGAGAAAACTGATATTCATAAAAAATGTCACAGCACAGCCACAGCGATTTGTTAAGGAAGTTGTGTGGTTAATGATAAATAAAAATTACACTTAAGCTTAAACTCAACAAAAATATTCTGAAAGTACAAGCCTGCTCTCTTTCGCCAGACTCAGCGGGACCCTCTGCAACCCGAGCTAGGTTCACTGGGGACCCAAACAAGGTCCCGCCCCTCTCGGCGCACGCGAGCACCCACGCCGGCCGGCTTTGCTGCGTCACTTGTCGCGGACCGCACCCTCCCTTCGGGTGCCCAGAAGCCCCGCCCCATGCTCAGCAGAGCCAATCCACGCACCCGACTCCGCCACTCCGGCTGCCGGGAAGCGGCCTGGAGGTACGCCAGCTCCCTCTCCTAGGCTCAGGAGGGCGGGCGGAAGGGCGCGCGTTTGTGGGAGGCGCGAAGGGAGCTGCCGGCTGGCGCAGTCAAGCAGTACCTCCGCCAGCCAGTGAGTCGGGCTCCAGTTACTTTAAGGCTATGACCTTGGCTGTCGAGGCCAAGGGGGTGTGGTAGCACACCGTCGACTACCTTCACCACTCCACTCCTTTCATTGAGGATGTGATGCTGCCCAGCCCCCCAAAGCTTCTCGAGAGAGCAGAGGGACACCCAGCCGAGGCTCACCCCGCCCCGCGCAGCTGAGCCCTAAGTCCCTCCCATTACCCCAACGGTTTGCAGTCGCCTGCGGAAGCCGAGCGTGACCACCCCCCCTCCCAGCACGCGGAGACCTCGGCTGTTTCCAAGGAAACCGAAACCGAGAGCCGCCATGGCAACTGTCTTATCTGGCAGCCCCCAACCTGCAGCCCAATCTGCAGCTCCGAACCAGTGCCCAAAGGGTGGAAACACAGCTACGTGGGTTCCCTAAAAACGGGGGCCCCTTTAATTAACTCCGGTGGAAGAAATGCATGTTTTAAGATTCAGTGACCTCAGGATTATCAGACCGCCGCATTTTCCAAGCCCCCAAACGCAGGGTCACAGTGCGTTAATGAGCGCGCCGAAAACTCTTATCCTTCAACGGTAAAAGTAGGGTGCTTAACCTGCGCGCCAGTGTGGATGTGAGGTCACACCCAGGATTCCCTCCATCCCCCTCAACTAGCCACTGGGCCAAATCCGGTTCCCGCCCAGACTCAGGGCGGGGAGGCGCCGGACGCGCCCGCCAGCAGCACTCTTCTCACCAGCTGAGTGCTAATACGGGCAAGGCGACGGTGGGTGTCAGGCACCGGGGCTGCCCCTGAACCTAGAGCAAGAGCCTCTGCATCTCGCGGACACAGCGGGCCGCGTGGACACACCGCAAGGCGGGGGAGGGGAGGGGAGGGGAGGGCCGGGAAGCGCCCGGGAGCCCAGCGCTGCCGCCCTCCTGCGCACGCGCGCTTTTCCGCCCGCCCCCTCCTGGGCTGGGAGCCCCGCTGACGTCAGCTGGGCCATGTGCTCAGCGCCCGCGTGGAGGCGGGCGGGGGAGCCAGCGAGTGCGGGAGGGCGGGGTGTAGCCGCGAGAGGAAAGGTCTACGGAGCAAGGAAGAAGCGGGCGCTGCGGCCATCCTAGAACCGCTCTCAGCTGCTTAATCCCTCCCCCATCCATACCTGGATGTACCGCAGCGCGGTCCGCAGCACACTCAGATTCGAGGTCTTCTTGTCGTCCACGTTGGGGATGTTGCGCTTCAGGGTCTCAAAGCATTCCTTCAGATGGGCCCTCCTGGGGACAGGGAGTGAGCGCTGGTCAGCCAGCACCCAAGAAGGCAGCGCTGGTGGCAAGGAGGGGAGGTCAAAGGGGAACTCTGGGGGATCAAAGGGGAGGGGGAGCACCAGGCACAGGTGGGCAGGCCCAGGGTCACACACTCATGCGCACACACACCTGTTTTTCTCCAATTTGTTGTGGACTTCTCTGGTTCCGATCCTGAAATCCAGACAAGACAGGAGGCTCAGGGTGGGCGTGATTAGGCTGCCATCCTGATCCCCAGCCACACCCACCCCAACACCACAGGCTTTTAGTCTCCAATATTCTGTCTGTGGAAGCAGCAATGAGATGTTCACCCTGTTCAAAGCCTCACCTACTCCTTGCAAGGCACATCCTCTATAACCTTCAATCCCACATGACCAACTGTGAGGAGACAAGTGACCTAGGACTCAGAAGTCCCCTACCCAAGAGACCCATAATCCCAACACTGCCCAATGGCCTGGAAATGCAGTAAGCATGCTAGCCTTGGAGGGAGGGGTCAGAGGTCATAAAAGCCTGAAAACAGCAGTGGCCATTCATTCCCGGAAGAGAAACAGGCTGTGTGTGGGGTCCAAACAGAAGAGGCACTCCTGAGCTGGGCAGGACATGTTACATAGGAGACCGGCTCTTGCGCACACACGGCCCCAGGTTTAGACAGTTCTCTCCATCCCACCAGTTTCAACTCTACCACATCCCACTCACCCCCCAGGCCTCTTCTTCTGTTCGCTGGACTTGATTTCTTCCGCTGGTGCCAACTTCAGCGTCCCAAGAGTAGGCGGGGGTGGCTGCTGGGGCGCCAACTGAGGCTGGACTCCCGGGTGTGGCGCTATAGTCAGGATAGGTGTGGGAAGGGGCTGCAGAGGCTTGGGGCTACCAGTGGTACCAACAGTGGTCTTCGAGTCCGGCAAGAGGGGAGCCGGAGTGGGCACCTGAGGCCTGGTAGGTAGCGAGGCAGGTTCCTTAATGCTGAGTCCAGGGTTGCCGACCAGGGCTGGCTGCCGAGGTGCCAGGGGCAGAGGCTGAGCTGAAGGGGGCAGTGGTGGGGGAGGGGGCAGCGGCTGGGGGGAATTGGTCACTACAGGAATAGGAATGACAGTCAGTGGGGTGGGAGTGGCAAGTGGGGGCGGGGGTGCTGGTGGGGGTGCAGGGGGAGATAGGGGCAGGGGTGGTGCCTCAATCCGGGGTTCTTCCAAGGGCAGGGCATGTGCCAGCCTGGCCTTCTTCTGCTCCTGCTCCCGCTCCCTTTCCAAACGAAGACGCTCCTGCTCCTCTATGCAGAGAGAATACAATGGAGAGTCTCAGGGGGGCTAACAGGCCTGGGCCTTTGCTTTACCTTTTCTGATCCTAAACCATCCTCTCATGCTATCCTACTCAGCACTCAGTGACACTCCTGCCCGGCTGAGATGGAACACACAAGCGACCTATGCACTGGGTCAGTTCATGCCCAGGAAGCAGTAGTGCACCAAGAAAGCAGGCCTGGCCCCTGCCAATGGGGAGCTCACAGCCCCATCGGACGGGGTAGAACAAAACACACCAGGGGACACCAGACCAAGCTGGAGGAAGGATGGGGGACCACAGAAAGGCAGGGCAGCAGCAGTGACAGGCCCAGCAACCTACAGCTTGCGGGAAGAAGGGCTAATGTGCAGGAGTCTGAAGTAAGGGCTTGAGGAGCCGAGGGACAGATGAGCAGGCCAGAGAGTGGAGAGCGGTATAGGGGCCAGACCCTGAAAGACTGCTGCATGGGGATGGTGACAGGTCAGTTTCTATGGAAGGCCTTCCTTCCATCATTGGTATCAAGCATCTTCTGAAGTAAAGGCAGTACTTTCATTTCACAGATGCAATAAATAAGCTGAGAGAGACAACGTGATTTATTGAGAATCACACAGCAAGTCTCAACACCTAGCCAGTGCTTGGTCCTTGCTATATAAGTTCACTATGTGTCTCCTCACATTTGCACACCCTGGATCCTCACAAAAGCCCCATGTCATGGGCGAGGTAGGAGATCACTTTACTTCATGCCGGGAGCTTCTTCATTCCTAAGCTGAATCTTTTTTTCTCTTTTCTTTTTCTTTTTTTTTTGGGGGGGGGGTTGTTAACCAGGGATCAAACTCAGGACCTTGTGCTTGCCAGGCAAGTGCTTATTCTAGGCTGAATCTTAAGAACTCTGATTTCTTCAGGGACCATTCAACACACTTGCCCCAGCTCATGTTTAAGACTAATTTCTCTCCCTCTCAAACTCTACTCCCAAATACCACCACCAGCAGAAACTAGAAGGAAGGCAGGTTGGGTTCCCTAGAAGAGACCATTCAAAGCCAAGGACTCAGGCCACCTGTACCCATCCCTTCCTTCAGTATCTCTGCTGAAAGCCCAGCAGGAAGGTGAGAGGGTCTCTCACCCCAAGTTCCCTCCTCATCCCTTCACTGTTGGGTTTTCTCCCAGGCCCCAACTGGGAGAGGTGATCAACCAGCCCTCTTTCCCCCCCCCCATTCACCACTGTCCCAACACAGCTGACAGCACCGGCTGGCAGACACGCCCCAAGGGACAAATCTACCCTAGGGGGGAAGGGAAACCCTTCCACCTTCCTACTCCCCACCCCCACCCTAGTCTCACAGCCCCAGGGCCCTCTAGCCAATCAACAGCTCCACAGCAGGACTGGCCAGCTCCTAGCCCCTCCCCGGGTGGGGGAAGAGGCCAAGGAGGAAGTTGAGGGGAAGCGCTCAGAGGTTTCCCAGCAGCCAGAGTTCAGGGTTGCCAGGCAGTGGGCCTCTTCCTATATCCCCTGCCCTTCAGGAAAAGGAGCTGCCAGGCGAGCACCAGCCTGCTCCAATGAGGAGAGCCCTTGTTTTCCCAGGCCCCTCCCTGCCAGCACTGGTTTACAGCACCAGAGAAAACCAGCTAGATCCTTTGCAGCGTCCCCCAAAACAGTAGCAAAGAAACCTACTGAGTTCCAGCCAGAGCCCTGTCAAGCCCAGCCTGGGCTATCTATCGGCAGTCTATCCTTCCTAGACAAGGCCCAACAAAACTCCCATCTCCACTCCTTTCATTTACAAACTCATTATCTTGGGGCAAATGTTCCACTGGCAGAAGAAATCCAAACTGAAGGCAAACCTGTATTTCATAAGAATCCCACCCCCGCTTGGTACTGAAGATCAAACTCAGGACCTTGTGCTTGCCAGGCAGGTTCCTACCCCACTGAGCTATCTCCCTGGCCCCAACTCATATTTCAAAGCAAGTCTAAAGCTCACCAAGAAAATGGCAGACTTCTCCTTTTCCCTTTCTTCCAGAGAACCAGGCAGATGCACCATACAGGTGTCAGAAAGGACTCTGTGAAATGGCCAAGGTTTACCACACCTGGATCTGCCTGAGAAACCTTGAGAAGGCTTCCCTAGGCCACAGCCAGCTTGCAGAGCTTCCTGCCTCTTCCTTCCAGCTCCCATTCATGTCCCACCCAGCAGGGACCCTCCCTCACCAGTGCACTGGAAGCAGGAAGCACACCGGTGGTGGCTGAGGCCTCCTTCAGGAACTGTTGTATTGAGGCTTTCTAAAAGATGTCCTGCATGCTCACAGGTGTGTGCCTTCTCACATACAGGCACAGGCATCTACCCAGATGCTTCCCCAAAAAATTCAGCATGGCCTTCTAAGTGTTCCAGGGCCCACGGTATTCTGAGGTCTTTTTTTCATGGCCCAGCAAACCAGCAGGCACAGGGTTGTTGGTTGAGGGGTCCATATTAGGTAGTCTCAAGAGTATATAGGAACTCTCCCCTTTTACATGAACCAAAAAGCTTTGCATGTAAGGCAGATAGATGCAGGACACAATGTCGTCAGGGTATCTGGATAATCCAGCCAGATCTCTCCAGTTCAGATAGAGTCCAATTCATGTCACCTCCATCAATGCTGGGCTTAGGCCAGGTCCTCCTACTGAGCACCAGAATGGCTTTGTCCTTATAGCCTTGGCTCACACACACACACACACACACACACACACACACACGCTCACAGGCACACACATCCTCAGGTTCATTATGTAAGCAAACTGGATTAGGTCAGGAAACCTGCCCTTAAGGTTGAAAGGGACAATGGACAAGAAGATTCCTGTTTCAAGCAGGGTGTGGGAGCACAGGTCTGTAATCCCAGCACTCGGGAAGCTGAGGCAGGAGGATCAATGTGAGTTCGAGAGCAGGCTGGGCTATAAAGTGAGTCCAAGGCCAGCCTGAACTGCATAGCAAGACCCTGTCTCAAAAAGACACACACACACACACACACACACACACACACACACACATTCCTGTTGAAAGCTGGTCATCAAGTAAACAACCTAAGTTTTAGTCAGCAGGTTCACTTCCCATCCTTATTGCTTCCATTCTTCCTGCTTCAGGGCAGAGGACTGAACTTCAAGGGGGAAAAGAAAGTGAGTCCTGAAGATTCAACTGCTGGGGACAAGTCTGGCCATCTGGATACATGAATTCTTTGGCTTTCCTGCGCTCACTCATCCCCTAAAATGCCCTGATCCAGTATCAAGAAACCCACTGAGCAGCTCAACTTGCCCTGACCTAGTTCTTACCACTTTAGGGAGGGGCAGGGTTCTGCAACTTTTTGTGAGAGTTTTTCTCAGTTTCTGAGCAGAGCTACACCCCCTCCCCCCATTTTACAATCTGATCAGGGCTTGCTTAATTGTGTATGCATGGAAGGCATGACAGTGGTGGTCTTCTCTCCTTCCCCATATGGTCATACAGGCTTCAAGAAAAGTGAGGGTGAAACCATGGAGTGCTCCCTGGAGGCAAGGGCCGAGTCAGTCCTGTTCACCTGGAGCATAGTGCCTGGTACACAGCTGGGATGCACCCGGCACTTTTTGTGTTGATGATGGTAGCAGGTGACACAGTCTCTCCACCACTAGGACCACAGAAGGATATTATGGGTCACCACAAGCACAGTCCATTGTTGACCCTGCTCTGGACCTCAAAGGTTTGGGAAGGTGTATGGGGGCGGATGTCCCAGCGCACTAATTCTGTAAACCCCTAGCATTTGGGTCTTGAATATCTCCAGTGACTCCTGACCTTGAGGCCGGTAGGTTGCTTCTACTGGGCCTGCGGACTGCTCTGCTCCCGCCCTTGCCGGCTGCGCTCCGCTCAGCTCTGTTCCACTCCAATCCTCCCCGCCCACCGTGGCAGCGACGGCGGCAGCAGCAGCCGCACAAGCTGCAGGAGCGCGCGCCGGCGCGCACACAGAACACACTACTACCTCCTGCATGACTCATCATTGAAGCAACAATAGGCAGAGAGAAAGGAAAGGAGGGCGAAGCACTCTCTACCACAACCGACCCAGCGGAGGGGCTTGGGGTGGGGGAACTGTACGCAAGCACAAGAATCCACAGAAACTGCATACTACTGGTCCAAGACTGAGGCCCTCACAGCAGAGGGGAAAGCTGGAGTCTTTCAGCTCAGCCTTCTTTTTGCAGCACCCTGAAGCTAGGACCACCATCAAGGGCGCACGGGGATAGGAAGCATTAAAATGCTTGTGATCTGACAGTGCCAAAGTTTGCTCCTTCTCAGACCAGCTCATTCCACAGTGTGACAGGGGACACAACAAGACCTGGTGAAAACAGGTTTTTTGTTGTTTTGTTTTTTTTTTGGAGGGGGGTTCAGTAGGCAGATGTGAACTCTAAATGTCCTTTCACTCTGAGACTCTGAGGCTTTCCTTGCCTAAGGATTATACAGGGAGATTCAGGTGAAAACCAAAAGGTGAGCGCAGCTCCTCTTCCCCAGGGCAAAGGCTCTCCCCAGTAGAAGCCAGGGCCCAACCCTAGGCAAAGCCCCCGGCCAGCCCCGCCCAGGCTCCGCCTCCAGCCCGGCGCTAGCCTTCGGGGAGGGGCCCGGCAGAGCAGTCCCCAGCGGGAGTGTCCCCCGTGCACGTGGTCGGGGGCGGGACCTGTCCACGTCACCACCCGGTGTAACCAACGGGCTTGGAACGCATGCACACGCAACATTCCAGCCCAGAGCGGGTTTGGAACGCGCAGACACGCCACATTCCACACCAGCTAAAGCGGGGCGCTTGGAGGGGGGTCGCAAGGCTGTCCCCAGCGACCCGCGGGCCGTCTCGCAGACACCAATCTCCCCAGCTTTTACCCAAACCCCTGACGCGCGACCCAGCCCAGCCCTGGGAGGCGGGGTCAGGCGGGGCTGGCCAGGATCATAAGACACGCGATGTCATTTCATTCTGCAAAGGCCGCCTCCGCCCCAAGCGGCGCGTAGATCTGCCAGGAGCGCCCCCCGCACCCTCCCGCCGGGGCAGGGGAAGCCGGAGAACTGTTCGGCGTAGAGTAATCCCCACCCCCACTTTGTTACACACACGCCCACTCGTGTGCGGTACACACGTCCGTGTACACGTCCGTGCATCCGCTCTCCCCGAGGCACCCATCACACACTCCCCCCCGTGCACACACGCACGCACACGCGGGTCTACCACCCCCACGCAATACCATCCTTCACCCCACCCCCCGGCTTACATCTTCAGAGTTACTAAGGGTGCCGCCGGCCCACGCGAAAGGAGCCCCCAGTCGAAGGTGCACAGGGGTGCTAAGCAGCTGGGTTGCGCCCGCAGGACCATGGTCCCTAGCTGCATGTTAATGAATTCATTAATTATTTTAACTGCCCACATCATTCTTCCCGGGCGGAGGCTCTTTCAGAGAGCTGTACACAGCGCAGCTTTTCAGGCCGCCAAGAAAGAGGGTCTGCCTGCGGTCTCGCGTGGGTTCAGGGGCTAGGGTCACTCGCCTCCCCTTCCCCCTGCCCCAGGGGCCCAGCCCGGCCGCTCACCACGTGCTCTCTGTTGTTGCTGTGCTTGCCATTCCAGGAAGCGGGCCGCCTCCAGTAGCGTCTCTATGCTCATCGCGCTGAGAGCGGCCGGGGGCGCGCCGGGGCCGAGGCTGCGGCCCGCGAGCCAGGCACAGGTCAGGCTGGCGAGCGGGCAGGAGGGAGGGATCACCTCCGGGGGGCGACAGGGCTGGGCGGCGCGGCGCACTCCACAGGAAAGAACGGGGGGAGCACGGGCAGAAAAATCAATGTCTCCCAAAATATTTGCAAAATACAAATTTGCAAATTGAAAAAAAACTGATGCAAAAAAAAGGCGGCACTGCTTTCTTCCTTCCCCTCCCTCTCTTGCTCCCTTCTGATGCCTCCCGCCCCGCGGCCCCCAAGAGTCCCGCCGACAAGAAAGGGCTTTGCAACAAGATGGCGAGGAGGCACCGACACACACAACAAGGGAAGGAGCCGCGCTGCCCCCGGCCGCCGCCCCCGCTACTACACCGGGGCCGCAGCCAAAGCCCGGACCGGAGCCCCCGCCCGCAGGGCCCCGGCGTCTCGAGAAGGGAGGGGCGGGGTCGCGCGCAGACTGGCTCCGCCCACTACAGAGGGCGCCGCCGCGCGCGCGCACACGTGGCCTGGGTGGGGGTGGGAGATGTTGAAGCCAGGTTTGTTCGCTGCGTTTCCTCTTTCCCGCGTCGCCCCGCCCCGTTTGCGAGCCACTAGTTGAGCAAAGGGTGCATGCACGGGTCATTCACGACAAAAATCTGTACTGCAGGAGGGAAAGATCGAAAATTCAAAACAATTTAACTTAGCCCAGATAAAGATATTCCAGTTTGGGGAAACTTTACAATGGACTGGCCTGATTCTAGGTCTCTGTTCCCCACCCACCCGCGACCTAAATCCCGCAACCACCCCGCTGTCGCAATTCCCCCGGGATCCGCCCCGGGGCGGAGCTGATGGCTGCAGGCTTGCAAAGATCGGGCGTTGGAAGCGGAGTAGTGATCCGGCTCCGTGTTTTGTCTCCATTCCTCCCCCCGCAGTGCGTTCGCATCCTATTAGGCTACGTCACCAGGCCGCGGGCCAATGGACGGGCAGGACAACACGGCATGGAGCGGCTCCACATGGACACCCCGCGCCGCCAGCCTTCTGTTTAAAGGGCCAGTGTTTGCCGGGTCACAGCGGGTTCGGATGGGGCCACTGGGTGAACGTCGGGTGAGACGCCTAAAGGGGAATCCCGCAGTTGTACTATAGCCTGCCCTCTACTATTCACCACTCTCCATTTAAAACTACGTCTTTCTCTTCCCTACCCCTAAATTCTTGTCTTTGTTCACACGTGTCTGATACGAGTAGAGATTCCGACTGCACTACACAGCACAGGCCACTCTGCTCTGGGGCCGGGGCAGTGGCGGTCAAGGCTTACCTTCCCTAGCCTAGGCCAAGGGGGCGTGGCCCAAATCAAGAACAACAACGTGGAGGGCGGAAGCGGGCCCTCCCGGCCGGGCGTCCGAGGCCGCGGGCGGGGCTCGGGGTGGGGTCGCTGCGTCTAGCTGTAACCGCGCTCTCCCAGGGGCCCGCCCGCCCGCCTCTTCCTGGCGCTAGTGTTTAGGTGCGCCAGGCGCGCAACTAGAAACTTAAGACCTTTAAGGTCAGCCTGCAGAGGTCCTCTTACTTCGCTTGTAAGAAAACTGAAGCTCAGAGACAGCAAGGGACTTGTCTAAGATCATTCAGTACTCCAGCTGTTCTTTGCCCCTTGAAGAGGAGCATTTATCCCTGATCCCAGGATAACTTTGATGTTAGTTTTGAAGCAGAGCCCAGGATTAGAAATCAAGGAGGAACATGGAACCGCGAGGCAGGAAAGGGTCTGACCACTTGACACACTGTGATATGGGGCAACAAAAACTGCCTGAAACCCAACCATAGTGTTCTGCCTCTTTGCTGGAGGCCACATCATCACTGGTAGGGTTGGCAGTGACAGATACAGGCCGGCTGAAAGCATATTTGGGGCACCCAGGAGCATATCCACTTCTGCTGTCACAACCTGACCCAGAGGATGTTAGGGCAGCAGGTTCTTTGGTTAACCCTGAGAGTAGGGCGATGTAAGCGGTTTCTGGATCCTGGAATCTGGGCTTCACCATTACACAGTGCCAAAGCAATTCGAGGAAAAGCGCCAGGAGCGTGAAAATCCTAACGCTTGCTGGCTTTGTCACTTTCCTTTGAAGGCATCATAGTGCATTTGCCTCCTAGGCAAAGAAACCCTTCACAGAAGATCCCAGCAATCAAAAACTTCACACACATCATCTAATCTTGGCACATATAATGCTCAAGCATCTGGAACTGTGCAGGGAGAAAGACAAATGTCTGGGTGCCACTGATTTAGCTTATGATTACAGTGGGCCAAAGGTAGATTAGAACACAATAGTTCTCCATGGCATGAGGTCTTTTTCCTAGGAAGGCATGTGTGCTGGCCCTGACATTGCTTACTTTGTTTGCCACTTGTTTCCTGGTGTGGTTGGGCATGGCCCATTCTGTACAAGAGAAAATGGGGAAACTTAAAAGGCAATATATAGGCAGATGGGGGGGGCACTACACATCAAAATATGTAAATTCCATGCAAAATTTCATTTTGCTTAGAGTTGGCATCATAGAATTTAGCTTAGAGTGCTATGTACAGCCTGTGCTTGCCTTCCTGAGGTAGTCATGGCACCCATAAAGCCCTGCAGTTTTTCCTACAGGGTGAAATCCAATTTTCTTGACTCTGTCAGGAACCAGCTCTTATCATTCAATAGGCACTCTGAGAAGCCATATTCTGAAGACAGTTCTCTTTTAGGGGTGAGGAAACAGGAGATAAAAGTGGAGTGTTCCCTAGTGTGGTGGAGGCTGAGGCAGGAGGACTGCTGGCAATTTGAGGAGTCTGCACTACATACATGTCTCAAAAAAAAAAAAAAAAGGATGAACACAGATTTGAACGCTGGCCTTTCCTTTGTTCCCAATACCCCATCTGCTCCAGAGCTTAGTGGTGATGCTTGCTATTTAAAACAAACAGCCTTACTGGCTTCACATGATCATCTGTTTATTTGGGTCATATGGGGACAGCAGCCAGGAGATGTTAGGCAAAAGCAAAGGTTTAAAAAGGAGGCTTTTACTTGGCTAATAGTTTCTTACAGACCCTGAAAATGCCCAAACAATTTCTCATCGATGAATCAACGTTTCTCTTAGTTTAGGAATGGACAGCAGGAGTGGGAGACAGGTATGGGGAAGGGGAGAAGTCAAAGATAGTGTGAATAGGGCTATTTAACACTTTAGCCCCAGCTTCCTGCCCCAAACTAATGGAATCAGGGTAGAAGTTGACAAAAGAGTTTTCATCCAAGGGAAGAGAAGCTTTTCTGATGTTTTAGCACAAAGCTTGGCAGGTGTGTGGAATAATCCCAAGGCTAACCATCACCAAGCAGTTTTCCTAAAGTCACTATATGGCTTCTATGTACTTGGCGCCACTGAGGCAAGAGAAAACCTGTTATCTACCTCTGTGCATCTTCTTATAGGAGGGTTTCTATTTACAGTCATCTTTCTCCTGTCTCATGTATCCCCCACTCAGCTCAAATAAGCTGCACTGGAGAATTTCCTTAGTCTTTCTACCCCTGCCCTACTCACCTCAACAAAGTACTACAGGTACAGCTCTAAGAGCTGTAGGAAAATCAAGTCCCTGACTCCTTCCATGTGATGACATGGGGAAAACTGAAGCTGAAGTACAGCTATCTCCTCTATAACCCAGAACATGCTCCAGCCCTTCAGATCTGACTTCTCATCTTTTGCTAGTGGCTTTAGGGTACTTTTCACCCATCATAATTACACAAAACTGAAGGAAGACAGTCAGGTGTGGGATAATAAGGGATGAGGGGAGGGGAAAGAGAAAGGGACAGATGACTGCTACCCTCAGGGACACACCGACATGCATTTAACAAGTATTTATTGTAAGCCTAACATAGCTAGGTATCCTAGTAATCAAGGTCAAAAGACCTTTGGCAAACCAGAGTTGAATAAAAGGTCACAGGACAGAATTCATCCCCACAGGCATACTGGGAAAGGTTAATTTGTGCTCTACCAACATGCCAGATGTAGGACAAGAGACAAGAGGTGGTACAACTACATTACAACCAGTAAGGATACCTGGCATACTCACTGCAATTCCCCAGGTTTATCAAGAAGTAGAAAGAAATTAAGTGGGCCTAAGGGTGGGATTAACCAACTGAAGCTGACTCACTAGAAGACCAGAAAAAATAAACAGGATTGTGAATTTCTATGACAGGGGTGTACCCTTCAGGGCACCTACCCAATCATAAGTGAAATGGGCTCCCCAGAGCCAGAAGTACCCACAGAAAACCTCAACCCCACATACCCCATTGTTAGAGGACCTCTCTGGAACCCACCAAACAGGTCTGATCAAGTTCCCCCTTGCCAAGCAGGTAACTTTTCTCTCTTCATTACCTCACAAAAAGTCAAAGCTGGAAGAATTGTGATCACCTACTCTGACCTCCCAAGAGAAGGTGTTTCATGGAAGGTCACAAAGCCGTATAGGTGAGAAATGGCCTGTTCTTCTTTTGACTGTGTAAGCCAGTCCCAGCCTGGGAAAAAGAGGTCAGTGTGGGGTCCAGAGTCCCTGAAAGCCTCACAGAAATGAGGAAAATGGGGAGTGAGCTCCTCCCCTCCTGGTTAGACAGGACAATCATTAACTTAGTGGTGCTCCATAAATGAGCTTAGTCTTGGAATCTAGAAGCTAGGTGACCTCAGTGGACACTGCTGTGCCTCAGGAGTTGAGAGCCTCTAATAGTGCTGGAAAAGTGGTCACTCTTTACTTCTGCTTGTCTAGCCTGGAAGGGTGACTGGGGGAAAGGGACACATTTTTATTCAGGCACCCACCCTGGGCGTGGACACTGAGTAATAAAGAAAAAAATGCAGTTCAGAAGCAAAGAGGGAGGAGCCACATACTCTGGGCTTTTTCTGAGAAACCAGAGGGGAGCCAAGCTATGCAGAGGTGGGGGCTGTGAACGCCAGTGGGCCAGAAAGAAGATGATGCAGCAGAAAGGCACAAGGGGAAGGACAAGGGCTTCTGACATTCCTTTGAAGGAAAAAAGAGATGGCTTCCTGAGAGTAAATTAATTCAGGTCAAGGGAGTGGATCTGGGCAGTTATGAGTAAAGAGAGGCGGAGTCCAGTACAATGTGAGTCAGGAGCCAGCTGGATCACTGGGGTGGAGATGTCAGTGATAGGGAAGGCCCCTCCCAAGGCAGACTGCTGGAATGCTGTCAGTGTCCCACAGAAAGGACTAAAGTCTACTGCCCAACAACCCAAACTCATTCCTAAAAGTCAGGTAACAAGCACAGGTCTCGCAAACTCAAGATTGGCTGCTGAGGTCCAGGCAGCACCCTGCCACAAAGCAGACCTGGAGCCAGGGTTTGGCGTCATGGGCACTACCATATCCCTACTGGGGCCTCAGGCCCATTGGGAGAATCTCTAC